GCGACCAGCACGGATCAGCTCTAGGCATGACGAAGCAGATATCGTCCTCTTTTGGAAGGCCAAACAAAGTTGTTTTACTTTCATAATGAAACACACAGCGCCTTCACGACATGGCGGCAGCAACAACAATACTACAGCGAGAATAAAAGTTTCGCCTTCTTTCTTTGCATGAACATTTGGGCGGCGTTATGCAAATCTTCCCACATCGTGACGTAGACATGTGGGGGCGTGTTAGAACGAACCGTTTTAGGTAGGTGTGGCTGACTCTTAACTTTTATAAAGAATATCTCTTTGGATTTGAGACTTTAGTCTTTGCAACTTTACAGATCTTCTTTATGCACCAAGAGCTTGTAACACTCCAAAGAGAAAGGAAAAATTGAAATCGCATCATATGACCCCTTTAACATGCAGTTATCTTGGTTGTATTTTTAATAATAAATATGTTTTTATCACATATTTTGCATCTCAGATGAATTTGCTTTCCTTTCTTGTTCCTGTCAGAAGCACCATTGCTCGATTACTTTGATGCAAACCGTTTCTAGTATATCGAGGGCTGAAGGCTGACAGCAATGGGGAAATTAAGAGACTTCTGCTTCTTATCACTGAAGTACAGAGTCTAAAATACACTTTTAAAGGTGACGATCTTACTTTGGCTGCAAGGACTTCATCAAGTAACACAGTTTACAATGACACACTTGACATAAAGCCATTATCGCTCACCTGTGCTGTCATCGTAAACCACGGTGGCTGTCTTCCACTTGAGGAACTGCACCAGGTCTAAGATAGCGTAGCTAAGAGAAGAGTAATCCGGGTACAGGTTGGCATAAAATGTATCCCTGTTGTCCAACGGGTGGTGTTTCCATCGCACTTGAATGTGTGGCACCTCCAGGGCATTGCAGATAGACTGTACAGCATTCGATGAGGAGCTGTGAGACGGCCCAAATATGGCAACTACACCTAAAGACAGCTGGTCACACGCTGGCGAGAGCAGACGGTGGGTCATGTGATAAGAAATGTCAAAACAGAAATGTCACTGCATGCAGAATATTCATTTGTACATTTTACAAAGCGGTGGTAAGTTTCACTCTGTCATAATGATTTGTTTAATCAATTTGTATTGATAGAATATGAATTTGATCAAACACATTCAAATAGAAAACTTAAATCTTAATATTTCACAATATTACTGTTTTTACGGTATTTGTGATCAGAACATGAGGTCTTTAAAGTAGGTTTTGTCTAAGAAATACATTAACAGTTCATAATAGTCATTACTTACTGGTAAAAGAGTTATACGTTACATTTGCTTAAAGGAATAGTTCACAGCAAAAAAAAAAAAAAAAAGGCTGAACATGTACTCACCGTCAAGCTATACAAGATATAGATGAGTTTGTTTCTTCATCAGAACAGATTTGGAGAAATGTAGCATTGCATCACTTGCTCACGAATGGTTCCTCTGCAGTGAATGGGTGCCGTCAGAATGAGAGTCAAAACAGCTGATAAAAACATCACAATATTCCACAAGTAATCCACACCACTCCAGTCCATCAGTTAACGTCTTGTGAAATGAAAAGCTGCATGTTTGTAAGAAACAAATTAATATTTTTTAACTTCAAACCATCGCTTCTTCTATCCATAATACTGCTTGCTGCAGTGAAAAAGTCATCACGTCTGAATCAGGAGAGAAATATGCACAGATGAAGCACCAATTACCAGCAAAAACAGTCCAAAACAGTTTTAAACAAAAAAAATATCAGTGTATTTTGATGTAAGAGCACAACAGGGGATTGACTTTTCTATCGGAGGAAGTGTTATTATGGATTATGGACTGTGGAGATTTTGTGCAGAAACAATGGTTTAAAGTTAAAATGCCTTAATAACAGATTTGCTTATTACAAACATGCATCTTTTTATTTCACAAGAAGTTAACTGATGGACTGGAGTGGTGTGGATTACTTGTGATGTTTTTATCAGCTGTTTGGACTCTCATTCTGACGGCACCCATTCACTGCAGAGGATCCACTGGTGAGCAAGTGATGGAATGCTGCATTTCTCCAAATCTGTTCTGATGAACAAACTAACATAAATCTTGGATGATTTTCAGCAAATGCTAATTTTTTTGGGTGAACTGTTCCTTGTTGTGGTCTAAAGCCACAAACCTTTACATTCTCACACCACTTACCCTTTCTGGAGGCCTCAAAGCTATCATAGATATTAATCCTCTGAATGTCATATGTTAACGTTGTGTTGGGCAATAATGTCCTGTTTCTGTTGATATTATTAACAGCGAATTTGAAAGCCAGTTCCTCGGAGCTGACGAGCGCCACGGGTCCATCCATTTGTTCAAAAATCCCCCCTAAAAAACAAAGAAAAAAAAAACAAGAGAAATCACTATCAAATGAACCAGAGCTGAACCCAGAGATGAAGCCTGGCACCACATCCTAACCTCTGGAGGTTGTTTGCATTTAGAGCTGTCGGCTAGCTCGCTTAAGCAACCCTATTCGATCCGCTCAGCAGAAAGAAAGAGTGTCTGACAGTCACAGCTGGGGCTTTTAAAGTTCAAGGCCAGAATGGAGATGAGGAGAGTGAAAGAGAAAAAGAGAAAAGTAAATGGCCTCATCATAGGTACCTTGCCTCCTTAAGGCCTGCAGGGTCATCTTTCATTCCCTGATAAAATAAAAAAAAAATAGACTCATACAAAGGCCTATAGCTTGTGGAAAGAGTTTTTGCACAGAAGTTTGAAAAGTTTAAAGCTGTTTCGGCAAATTCATTTCATAACAATCTGCTGAGATTTTCAGAAATGCATTTTACTGACAAGATTCCACCAATAGAAGAGCTGGAGAAGTAAACTCTGTGTTTATTGACTTTACTGTGCAATAGAACCCTATAAAAACAATACAATGATAACATCTGGAGCACGCTGAGCAATCTTCAGCCCTTGAGGACTAATACTGTTAGACCTGCTTCACCTTTCCAGAGTATATCAGCGATTTGACGGTCTGGAAGCCAAAGACATATGAGCAGAGAGAAATATTGGAAAAGCAAAGTTTGTTCAGTTGTACAGAATTCAATTTCACCTATCGGTTCATTCTATTTGGGATGTATTTTATAAAAATATTGTTTGCGTGAGTTTGTCTTTTGTTTTCATTCTTTTTTTCTAGAAATAAATAGTCTCAATTCATACAATTACACAGTTGCAAGTACAGTAACAGTGTTGCATATCTAGCCTACATTAAGCTAGTTTGAAACCAAATATTGGTTTATGATAACTGATAAACTTACAATTTCCCATAAGTTCAAAAACATACAATATTTCTCATTTTTCTTACAATACCTTTGATAATAGGAGTAAAATAGCAGTAAAATGCTTCAGCTTGAAATAAATAGTTTATGTAATATTTAGTTTTATGTGTGTATGTTGAAATGATCCCCTTCCTGGCCATCGAGACTCATTTCACATCACTCAATTATTAATCTAACACGTATAATAGTTTTCTAAAATTAAATAAATAAACAAACAAACAAACAAACAGACAGACAGACAGACAGACAGACAGATAAATAAGGGATTTGCTCCGCTAATGCTTTAAAAAAGAATAGCAATGGGACACAAGCCCTAATCGTGGAAAGTGCCTGCTGAATTCTTTAGTGCGTAAGCATAACAGATAAACACCATGCCAAACACAGAAGAACCCTTGGGCTTTTTTAATGTTTTCAATCCTGCTTTTAGAGTCCGTAGCATGTAGATCCATGAACACATGAATATTTAAGAGTTCTTGAGTCAGACCTCAGCACAGGTCAAGAACGACCTGAACATTGCTATTATTCTCCCAGAGGAGAACAGCTCAAGTACGAGGCTGCAGGGGAGATCACAGGCCTACAATTCAGAGAGCAACGCAGCATCCCCTGAGCCATGCACACTATTTATGACTCCAGCGCTGCTTGACTTCTGAAGGGACATGATGCATAAACTCCCTGGAAAGAGCCCCGGCGCATTAAAATAAATGAATCCTGCCTTTGTGTGGGGAAATCTCATTAGAGTACATTAAGTAATTGCTGGAGTATATACTAATTTGACTATTAAGAGGATAAAATGTGCATTGCTCGGAAGCACTAAAATAGATTTAATAAAAACGGGAGATCAGCTGCTGCGAGGAGAAAAAAAAAAAGCCTGTGAATAGCTTTACAATGAATGCGGTTGTTTCCAGATATACAAGCCATAAAGCAAAACGCTTGCGACTCCTCCATCAGACAGCAGAGAAGCAGTTTCTGTCTCTACGAATAAACTGTTAATGGCGCAGGATATTTACGCTGATGTACGGCTCTGTGCTAAACGGGCTCTTTAAAGGGCTTAATGTAAATCGAGCTGTAACTTTTGATCTGAGATTTCTTGCACATCTTTCTCTAACATCAGTCAGTTTAAGTTGCGATTAAGTTGTTTCCTGTTTTGAAACAGCTTTACAAAGGCGGCCTAATTAATCTCTTGGGTTGTAGTCTGGTAGAGAAAACATGTGCTCATTACAGCTGCTACCTTTACTAATACAGCTGCCAGTAGACCTCTTTCCAATCCACTAGTTTTTAAAGCACTGCGAAATAAGGCTGTAATTAGCAACACAATTATATAAATCCTTAGTGCATGGTTTGCATCAGGACTTGTGTTGAAATCGTGTTTCTGAATGAATCTCGTACTGATAGTTTCTCCCTCCCATGTGATTTCTATATACATTTTAGTATTTTACATAGTTGCAAGCACTGTCAATTTAATTAATTAATTTATTTAGTACTTAGTGCAGCACCGGACAAGTTTTAAATTGTGGGTGCAGAAATATAAATATCTAAAAATAAAATAAGAGTTACTCAAAATGTTATGTTTTAATTTACTGAATGCTATTTGTCTATTTATCATATTGTTCCAAACCCATAAGAGTTTAATTCATCGTCAAACAATAAATGAAAAAATTTTTTAATGAAACCTGAGAGATTTCTGTCCATCCAGTGAAAGTCCAGGTAACCAAAACTTTAAGACATACAAAAATATGAACTGAGCGGTTTAATCAATTTATTGTAATCCATTTATTATTAATAGAACAGCATTTATTCAAAATGTAAATATTTCCTAACAATATAAATCTTTGCTAACACATCCTTGCTGAATAAAAGTTTTAATTTCTTTCAAAAAAAGAAAGAATACAAATTTACTGACCCCGAACTTTTGAATGGTAGTGTATATTGTTAGAAAATATTTCTATTTTATCTTCTTAACTTTTTATTCATCAAAGAATCCTGCAAAAAAAGTATCACAGGTTCCAAAAAAAATATTAAGCAGCGCAACAGTTTCAACACTGATAATAAATCAGCATATTAGAATGATTTCTGAAGGATCATGTGACACTGAAGACTGCAGTAATGATGCTGAAAATTCAGCTTTGCATCACAGGAATAAATTATATATTACTGTATATTAAAATAGAAAACTGTTATTTTACATCATAATAATATTTCACAATATTGCATTTTTTCCTGTATTTTTGATCATATAAATCCAGCCTTGATGAACAGAAGAAACTCCTTTAAAAAAAAACATTAAAAATCGTTCTGATCCCAAACTGTTGACCGGTAGTGTATATATACACTATTTTATTTTTTTTTTTAATGGATTATGAAAACTTAAATACAAGGAGCTCTAAAACATTTTTCTAATTTTTACAACTCTTTTGCTACAAATGTTGAATCTCCAAATAAAATGTTAAGGTTACCACTGCATCTGTCTGATGGAAAGAAAAAAAAAATTCATTTTTTAAATTAGTTTTAATTGTTATTTTCAAAGCTTTCAATGCTATTTGAAACTAAATATATATATAAATAATAAAAAAAAAATAATA